ACAGCATTCTAGTGTGGAAGAAATCTCATTTAAATCATTTATATTGTGTATAAAGAAGATATATTTAGCTCACATGTATGATAAGGGATAATGAGTACTAAATCATATATTATTGCTTGATCACAACCTGCTCTTGACCACCCAGCTGATAAAAGTATATTCTAAAGCCATATAGTTATTAGTCACATTTTACTCACAACATAAAAATAAATAAAAATTCTTGGAATTATGCATTTTCCTACGTGGTATGAAAACAATTGACATTTCATAAAAATAAAAAACACCAATATAATTGTAACAGTATATATTGTAGTATATACTCGTATATGCTGCTCAAACACCAAGTCCTAATGAAGGAACAAATTATAAAGTAATTTATTCATTTTCACAATCCAAACAGTTGAAACATGAAATGTAACAGCATAAAATAAGACAGATTATTAAACCTAAAGACTCTTAAAAATTAATCTTTAATCAATAATATATGAAAAGATACTGTTGTTTGGGGTTTTTTCCTAATAGTGAATTTCATAGGGCATGTCTCCAACTGGCAGCTGTGGCAAGCTTATGCTATGGATCTGTTTTGTACAACTACTTCCTAATTAAAGCACTAAAACTTTCAACAGCCTTGTAAGAAAAAAAAAGCTCAGATCCAATATGAGAGACACTGTAGTAAACTGACTTGAGCTATATTCCGCACTAAATGTCTAAGTAAAATGCATCCAGTTCCTGGAGTTCGTCTCTCCTTACAGTAAGGTAAACAGTTTCCCTATGACTATCTGCTGGAAGAGAAACTACCAGAAAGACCACATTTTATCACTACAAGGGACTAAGAAAAGAATATTCTTGTGTTAGTGCTTTATCAACTATATTCTAAAGATACTTAAAATAAAGCTGAACAACTATCAGTCCCTGGTAGTGTAAAGGTGTAACACAGATTCAAAAAGAAAGTAGCGTTAACTGTATTTTATTACTTTGCAGAATGTCTCAAACACAAAACAATGCAAAAGTTATAAGACCAGGCTGATGTCTTTCAGTAATCCATTATATGTAATGAGAAGCAGCATATAAGAAAGTCTCATACTCAAAACCTCTTCAGGTAGTTTATTCTTTCTCCCGAATTAATTATTTCTTTGACTACCCCAGCAAAACTGGCACCAATGACAGCAAATATGTACATCAAACTGTAGCATCATTTGAAAGCCCTATCTTTCGGGATATTATTTACCATAATTTTGCATTGTTAAATCCAAAAATCATACTCAGGTTCCCACAACATGCCCATGGAAAGATGGTCCGCATCCCCAGTCACTGTCAGAATTTACACAGCAAAGTAGTACATACAAAACTCAACCCTTTGGGCTCACATGAGTGGAAACACTGCTCAGGATTTCACCTCTCAGAACACTGTTCTGCTGCTGACCAAGCAGCATCACGACAGTCAGTTGCGCAGTAAATGGAATTCAAAGCTGTGAACCAAATCCACCACCTCGCCAAAGAGGTATCTCTTCACCTCAGCATCACAGGTCTAATGATTAGAATTCATTTTTTATACCTTCAGGTGTACTGCTTTTGCTTGGAGGTACTGTTCTACCAAGATGCTTCAGGGAATCTGCTCATCATTCAGCACAGCAACACCCACCCAAGACAGCTAGAGAAGGTGTGGCGTTTGCCGATCACTCCAGTTTACTGCCAACTCCAGGATCAGAGTTGAGCCCTGCGGGAACACGCCTTTCTTTTCAGAAGTTTTTGAGTTTTGCTGAGATTAATGTTCTGGAAAGGCACAAGATACACTAGCATGCCAACTTCGAAATGCATTGACAAAGTCTTTCCCATTAACTGTCTACTGACCACGGCTTTTCTCTCACTTGGATATTCCCCAAAAGCAGTGACTATAGACTCATTTCCCAGCTGAGAAAAGCACAGAAGAGGCAAACATTGCCTCTATCCTTTCTCTCAATTTCAAGCTTGCAAACAATCTAAGAGATGGAGTCATCTGCATCAAGATGAAATCCATAAAATCTCGTAAAGGGCTACTCTGCTGCCCGGGGTAACTACACCAGAGTAAACTCCAGCTTGCAAACCCCCTCAGTGCAGAAAGCAGCAAGACAAAGAATGAAGTCCAAAACTTGCCCATAGATTATTTTTTCCCCACTTAATGCACTGCTCAATTGTCAACTCACGACAAAATTTAGAGCCTTTCTGCATTATTCTCACAGAACACTTGACCACCAGCAGAGCCGATTCCTGGCCAGTTGCCTCCTTGCTTTTCAGAAGCCTCTCGATGCCTTGCTTTGAGGGCTACGGAGAGCACGACAGCTGAGAAATGGAATTACTTCCTTGAAAGTTATTTTGCCTTACACTGTTAGTATCTAATAATATTACTAACATTTTCAGCAAAGGTTCGATAACACTGAAGCAATTAAGATCTTCAGTGCTCTGAAAATCGTTGCTAAATGTCTGCTGAATCAGCCTTAGTAGAACTTAGCAGGCAGTGGTCCCACTGAAACAGGGATACGAAACAGCTTTACCAAAATGCAACCGTAGCACGAGAGCCATGCTATTACCAACTCCACTTTTTTTTTGTTTTATCATGGGTTTTAATACACAAGAACTTCAAACAAGTATCTTTAAGAGTTTCACTGTCTCAAGGAGTTCGCTCGAAGCAGCTCACCCTGGAATTTCTCCTCAAACATATCTTAGTTACGAAAAGCAAGAAACTTTATTTTCCTGGGACAAGCGAGTTCCCACAGTGTGGCAGAGAATCCAGATACAGTGTTTGGCATTTAGAAGAAACTGTTTAATCAAAGTACTGAAAGACAAACATGCAGAAATAAAAGCCCTGAAAAAACACTGATCTATTTTTATGAACTACAGCCTATGGAACCATTTCTGAATAGGACTGAAAACATTAAATACTATTCTGTCCATTAATTCTAAAGTATGTCAGACTACATATATTTCAAAGACAAGTTATCAAATAAAACAAAAACCTGAGGGAGATGAAGAACTTTCTAAAATGAACTTTGTTTCCTCTCTTTTTTCCCAGATATTTTAAAATAGCATTTTTCAGGATAGGGGCAGCTCAAACTCAAAACAGAGCTGAACGACAAACAATGGTGGTACAGCAGTTTAGTGTCTGTACTTCGAAGAACCATTTAATAGAGTCAAAGGAAGAAACTTTTCCTCATGTGGATAAGCGAGGCTGATCTTTTGCAGTTCTCTTAACAGATGTACTGGCCTTGATGTCCCCTTTCAAGTTTATTCTTTTCTAAATCAAGACACTGAGGTCTTTCGCGGACATATGGTGTATGGACATTATAGATGCTATTTCTCCTTGCAAATGTGCTGGGATCTTCTGACCTCAGGTCATACTGGCAAGAAGTTACCATCTGCCTATTGCTGTTAGATGATCAAAAAGGAGCACTTCTGGCTCTTCTGCTACATCAAAACACCGAAGGTAGTTAGAATATTGTACAGCAAGAGTGCCAACTGCACGCAGTATCTCATATGACCTTGAAACTCTGTCCAAAGTAGTAAAAGCAAAAAAAAAAACACTGGGGGTGGAGGAGCGGGTATACCACAGGACTGAAAGCACAGCTTGGAAAAATCCAGGAGTCGGTTTATCATCAGATGGCCAAGTTAGCCCTTATGTTCTCTAACCTTCCCTTAACTACCTTCAATTTCTAAATAACCTCAGTGCATAAACATTGTGGGGAAAGTCAGAAGAAATAACATTGATGTAACTCAAAGCAATATTTCAACACACTAGTACATACACAGCACCGCTGTCTGTGTCTTTGCTGAACACTGCACAGAATTTCCCAGTCCCTTCCAGAAACAAAGGATGAAAGAAAGTTTGAAAGCAAAGGCCAGCTAAACCAAAACTGAATCAAAACTTCGCTACTAACTATTACATCGTGTTCTCAGACACAGCAATTATTTCAATTTTTAATTATATGAAGATTATAGATGCAGTTTTGTTCACAGAAACTTGCTCAAGAGGACGAAACTGTTGAAGAAGCTATGTCAAAATCCCATTTTCTACTGGAAGACAGCAGCCAATAGTGTGACTTCTAAAAGGATATTGGACTTGAAAAAGCATTATGCAAACACAGAGATTACTCCAGAAAGTTTCAGTGCAACAATGCATTTCTGCATCTCAGTTTTGTAGAGATGCTTTCAGTTTATAATTTCTTTAGTAACTTTTTTATAGAAGGGAAAAAAAAAAAATCCACACACAACCAACAACACTCAAAATAGTTACTAAATCTACCTCTGACTCCTACTGAGCTTTTCATTTGGTTTCTTTCCTGAGATTCTCAGGCCCCTCTTAATTTGTGGACCACCAGCAAGTGACAGGGTTGCTGTACTGCTAACTTGGGCACTTTTAGCCTCCAGCACTTAAATACATTAAAGCATGAGATACTGCTTAACCAGCTATAAGAAGCCACTGAACAGAAGTGCTGTAAACACACTACACAAATTAAAAAGAAACTGTTTTATTCCAACCAGTTGTCACAACAGCAGCATCCACAAACTTTCCAAAATAAGTCTTTCCCCCTCCCCCCCGCCAAGTAGCAGAGTCCCCTTCATAAACTAAAGGACACTTGTCACTGACCATAGCATCGCCATCAGGTGTGCTTAGTCTATACCTACAAAACAGACAACTCAAGAAGGATGAAACACTTTCCCAGACTCTAAACTGAACATATCTAACGCAGAAATAAGACAGTTGTATCATGTTAAGAAGTTACTGCCTTATATTTTGCATTTAGCTGTACAATAATCTCTGCCCAGGTTTCAAGCAATCTGACCCAAGTATTTTCTTAGTAAACAATCACAGAGGATTTGCCTTAAGAAACAGGGGAGAGAAAACAAAAGATTTCCATGAAGTACAGTACCTCTGTATCTGCACCATGCCCTTGAATAAATCCATATTGTACCTAGCTCAGCAAATCAAAATTAAACCAAAAGAAATACCAATAGAAACCTCTTACCATGTTCGACAAAAACATTACAGTGCGGGCCCCCATGCCTCGATGACTCCTTCTTCCCTGCTCCTTTGATAAAGTGCAGGGCAGGCAGACTTGGCCTCCTTTGGTCCCCAAGAACTTTTCCAGGCTGCTGCCCCATAAAGTAACTATGGGCAGCCTTTCCCAGGACGAGAAGTTTTTGAAGAAGTCTGTGATCCCTGATCTTCAAGGCTGGAAAGGAGTTTTGAAGGAGAATGTATTTTAGGTGGGTGCGTTGGTTGCACTTGCTGTGCAATAAAGTCACTTGAGGCGAAGAATTAAGACAAGCGCAGATTCCTCCAACACTTCTGAAGACAGCAACTAGGCTCCTTAGGTGACTTTATGCAAAACAAAACCAAGTAAAAGTTCCAACTGCTTAGTAATGACCAAGCATTACCAAAGTTTCAGGTTGCCATATGTAGTGTGTCTTCCACCAGCTAAAGGAGAATTAGTTTGTCTCGCAATCAAGAAACCACAGGTAGGCTCACCCAGGGCAGGAAACAGCCATTCCCACTGCAACAAGTGTCAAGGTTTCTTTTTTTTTCCTCCTTTTCTTTTGCATAGCATTGAGTTAGCGAAGGCCAAAAAGCCACGTATTTGGCTTCAAGTATTGTTGAAGTCTAGCAGGTTCAAGTATGCTGACACCATGTCAGCTCGCAAGGCGAAGCAGAGGCAGCTCTGGGCCTGGCAGGCTCCACACGCTCCGTGGGCCGAGGGAATGGGCTGGGGGGCTCCTGCAGTCCAGCCTCACGCCGCCTTGCCTTCTCCCATCACAAGGATAGATTCCATGGCCCCTCCTCTCCACC